CCATCTACTGAATACCATTTGCGTTCCATTCTCCTTGAGCAATGGCCAGGAATGAATGTTGCTCCACTAGGCTTATCATTCCCATTAACATTCCTCTCATATACTGTATGGAAACTGTGTTTCATCTTCTCTATGGTGCTGTTGTCCTGGGCATAGTTACCAGGATGTTCCAATCAAAAGGTCGATTCTGATCCGTAATCTCACATCCTGCGCTTTGGGAAACGGAACCTGTTCTACTTTATTTAATTTTGGAATCTGAATCCTTTAGTATATAGCAGTAGTATAGTACAGCGGTATGGTGTAGCAGTATATTATAGTCTAGCAGCAGTATGGTGTAGTATAGCAGTATATTTAAGTCAAATAGTAGTCTAGCAGTTTGGTATACTTTAGTATATATTATACAGTATAGTTTGTATTATATTGTTATTTATATTAAATTTAAATATATTAGCATATGGTATAGCATAGTAGAATACACTATACAATTTAGAACTAGTATAGCAGTATATTATTTGTATAGCAGCATGGTAAAGTATAATAGTATACACTATAATTCTGCTAGTTATGTGCTCTATAGGGCCTCGATTCTTAACCAGATGGAGCCTGGTGTTACATAATTTGTTGTTCAATGTAGAATTAGTATAGCAGTATATTATGTGTATTGCAGCATGGTATAGTACATAGTATACACTATAACTATACTTGTTAAGTTCTCTGGAGGGTCTCGACTCTTAACCAGATGGAGCCCATTGTCACATAATTTATCGTTTGATCCGGATTAATTTTGAATTGAGCTCCCCCACATATTGGGATCAATATCCCTGGACTTTTGGGTATACGGACCGTGATGCCTAGCATAGGCAGGTTTCTGCTTGTCACATTCCTGTGGTCCCAATCCTGATTTTGATCCTGGATCAGATTAGATCCCAATCCAGGTAACTATGGTCCTGGGTTATCCAGCTGGCTTTACCCCCAAGTATGGCGACCCTACTACTACCATCTGTTACCCTAATCTCTTGTTTCTGATCCAAACCAGCCTCCTCTCCTCATCTTCAAGTAATTTGAGGTCCAGAAATTACAGTTCAGGTTTAGAAAATGTAATTTATTTATTTGTTTTTAATTCATGGTTACTGTATTCAATCGATCTTTCAAATTTGTGAATTGGTGATTCTCACATTGTTGAAGAGGCATGTTTGATTACTGACCACCGTAATGTATTAGGGCCAGGTATTATCTTACAGTTGAAGAGGTTTATTAAAAACTTGATATTACCTTCAACATGAGGGTGTGATGCTCCGACTGTTTTGTCCCCAGAGCATTATTTAATCTAGTCCAGCACTAGGAACGAAACATGCAAAAATAGCTTGCTGAACTGGCATTGGAAACCATTTTTCATCGCATAAGACATTATGCATTAAACATGATTATGGTACCCTAGTCAATCTGAGGCCATATGACAATTATTGAGTTTGGCAATCTCATACTTGAAATATTTTGCTAGTCCTCCAATCTGGTGGGTCAATCCCACCCGTCTCCGGATCTGAACCCACCCACTAGACCAAATAGTCGGGTCTAGGTCCACTTGACCTGGATCAAACGGAGTCTGGGCCTAACCTGGTCAATTGGGGTTCATCCAACTTGACTCTCTCTCTCTCTCTCTCTCTCTCTATATATATATATATATATATATATATATATATATATAT